TTGGAAGGTAAAAGATAGAGATGAGGTCCCATGATTTATGATATAAAAAGAAAGCATCGGAGCCTTAGCTTTTGGTCAGCACACATCATTGCATCCTGTTACTTCGTTAAGTCTCTCATTCGCACAAATGAGACCCCAGAATTTGATTTAATTACTAAAAGGAAACATATATAAATTAATAAGCATATATATTATATATGGCCATTGATGTTGAACAAAATTAGAAATTAAAGTATATTAAATACATTAATTAAAGTTTGCTAATGATATATCCAAATGCCAAAAAAAAAAAAAAGTTGCTTTTTTTAAACACACAATAGGACTTACCTTTTTGAATAATATGGCTGGAGTAGTTTGAATCGATACAAGCTATAGACGTTGATATACATATATAATTCGACATTGTAAAAAGCATCATATTGGCTATAAGTTAAAAGTGAGTAATTCACTACTAATTGTATCGAGATTTTTTGAATTAAAATCTTACCATGCACATGAATGGGTGCATTAGTCGGACCTCCATCTCATCTAGTGCATTGAACTTAAGTAACTAAGTTGAGGATAATATCAACGCTGATTTGAATTTAGTTTGTGACTAATTAAAGTGCTGCAATGCATGTGCATACATCCTCTTTATTCTCTTCTCCACATGCCAATATACAAGGCTTACTGCTTACAGATGGGGTTTTTTTTCTGCACTTGCTTTTCCTACTAGCTTAACTGCATGTGCTTCATGGATTCAATGTTGGTTCTTTCTCTGAAACGTAGTTGGATAAGGCATGGAAATGGATTTGAGTTTCTAATTACTGTACCTCTCACAACAATTCAATGATTTGAGCACCTCGGTTTATTAACTATGGAGTCTGTTTTCATATGTACTTAACTATCAAGTGGGTTTAATTTATAAATGTGAGATTTCAATTCAAAAGACTTTTGATACAACTTTAAAATCGAAAAATGAGGGGTCTTATATACCTACGCATTCGAGATCGGGTGTTTCGAATTCTACATTCCCACTATTGTTAATATTTGGACAAAAAAAAAAAAAGAAGAAGAAAAGAGAGATCTATATACTTTGATCTGCTTAATTCAATCAGTCATATTCCTCACATAAGATAGCATGATAGTTGATATCATTTGTGAACTATTTGTAAGTCCATGCTTGTATCTTGGGCACTTATCAAATTCTTTTGGGCCCTGTTTTAGTTTGATTTATATATTTTGGGCTTGGTGAATTTGAAGGCCCAAAATTCATCATTTTTGTTGTAAACGATGGATGACCCATATGTTGAAAATGAAGAGCAACATTGAGTGAAATACCATGTTTTACGAAAAGTTAAAGAGTTATAAGCTTAGTCACTATTTACAAATAGTAAGAAGCAATCTTACTATTTGTAAATAGTAAGGAGCAACATTGAGTGAAATATATACCATGTTTATGAGTTAATGTTGTAGGGTGAATGCTTTGGTTGTCATATCATCTACTTATAAACAGAGGCAATCTTTAAACTTTGAGAAACACCAATCCGACGAGAAAAAAGAGAGAAAATTCTATCTGTGTAAAAACCATAAGAGCCAATACAATTCCACCCCAATATGCAGTGGTACTTTCACACTCTTGCATATTTTTAATTAAAAAAAAAAAAAAATAAAAAAAAACATTATAAAGTCACATAGAACTGTTACCAAAAAAATATATATATAGAGGATTTTTAGACTCAAGTCCTGATAAGAGTTATTTGATTAGCTTAGAATGAGTTATACCTTCTACTATATCCAAAGATTGTCCTTCACTTTCAGCAATTGGGATAAAAATAATACATAATGCAAGTTGAGCATATATGGAAGTATCACACTGAACTCTTTAAGTATTTTGGGCAAGATGGACGAATTTGGGACCTCTTGTGACATTGTCCGCCGATAATTTCCTATATTAAATTTCTAAACTGCATAATTCAAATGACTTTGGCAATTGATGGGCTTTACCAGCCAGAGATAATATAAAAAATTTACACAATCTAGATGACTACCTCAATTTTGTCTCTTGCAATCCTGCCAAGACAAAGCTCTACACAAACAAACTTACTGTAACGGCACTGCACACACACAACCAGATCAACTAGCTTGTTTCCACATATCCCTTATCTGCATATTCACACTGAGTGCTACACTATATAACTGGCAGCTAACAAGTTTCAATTTCACTCATAAACATAAACACAAAAAACATCTAGCAGTCTTCAATATTATACGAGCAATATGGCACTCCCAAAACTTAAGCTCATCTTCACCCTTTTCTTCCTTCAAGCCTTCCTCACATCCTCCACATCAATCCAAGCAGCCCCAGCAAACTCGGATCTCTTCAGAGAATACATAGGAGCTGAATTCAACAATGTCAAGTTTTCTGATGTCCCCATAAACCCAAATGTTGAATTCCACTTCCTTCTCTCATTTGCCATAGATTATGACCCCTCAGGCTCCTCTCCCACCAATGGAAAATTCAATGTCTTCTGGGACTCTGATAATCTTAGCCCTTCCCAAGTTTCCTCCATAAAAAATCTGCATTCAAATGTCAAAGTGGGCTTGAGCCTAGGAGGAGACAGTGTGAATAGTGGCTCTGCTTACTTCAAGCCTTCCTCAATTGACTCATGGGTTTCCAATGCTGTTTCTTCTCTCACAAGCATCATCCAGCAATACAATTTGGATGGAATTGACATTGATTACGAGCACTTCAGCGCAGACCCTGCTACCTTCTCCGAGTGCATTGGGAAGCTTATAACAACCCTCAAGAACAATGGAGTGATATCATTTGCTTCCATTGCTCCCTTTGATGACGACCAAGTTCAGAGCCACTACATGGCCTTGTGGAAGAACTATGGCCACTTGATAGATTATGTGAATTTCCAGTTTTACGCATACGATCAGGGCACCACAGTGTCTCAGTTCATCAATTACTTCAAGACACAAAGCTCCAATTACAATGGTGGGAAGGTCTTGGCAAGCTTTATCAGTGATGGGAGTGGTGGACTGTCCCCAGAGAATGGTTTTTTCACTGCCTGTCACAGGCTCAAGAGTGAGCAACAACTTCATGGTATCTTTGTTTGGTCTGCAGATGATTCCAAGAAAATCGGTTTCCGCTATGAAAAGCAATCACAAGCTCTCTTAGCAACCCCCCACTAGTACTATATTATCTTTATATATTTAGCTTCTATATGAATATGATTAAGAAGTAAGCTCTGGAATTGGATTCCTGGGTATTGTAATGCTTGTTGTACTTCTATTTACCTGGAGTTATATACATATTTCAGATTGTGTTGTTTGAGTATGTAAGATCGCTATAGTCTATAAAATTTGCTGATTTTCACAAATGGTTTTCTTGTTTTACATGCTGGCTACTCTAGCACTGGCCTCTACATAATTCAACTTTCTTCTTTGATATATACTTACACCAAGAACAGAGTTCTGAATGCTCACTTTCCTTCTACATCATTTTTTATTTATTCAACAACTTGTTGGAAATTTGACTTGCCAAAGTGATGTCAAGAAGGTGGAATTCGGTGCGAAGCAGCTGGAGCAAGAGTGATGCAGCAGAGGAGCAAGGTGCGAAGCAGTTTCAAACTTTGAAAAAATATCAAAGATATTCATTGTCCTTAATCCAGAATCTGTCGATTTCCTAGTTTCCATAACCTAGGAGATGCAAAGATTCTCACAACCTTATCTATCAAAACATTGAATTTCACCCGAAAAATCATGACAAGCACTCAAGCCCCCACCAAACGATGACCAGCAATTGAGAGGCTTGTGTGTGTTGGTGTTTTGACACCATGGGAAAGAGACTACTTTACCCTCAAATATGTCCCACGCATATGTTGTGAGGCATGGTGATTCTATTAAAAAAACAAAACAGAAATAAGCTATATATATTGTCCTTAAATTGCAACAATTAATAAACTAATCAAAACAATTGAAAGTATACAAGCACAAAGTACCTAATTAACCTCTAATTTATGATTTTTTTTTAAAAAAAATTTTATTGAACTTAACTGTATTATTAAGCACCTCTAAACTGAAAGTACCTAAGTAGAATTCTAATAAACCTAAATTGAAAGCAAGGCGCATTTTAGATACCTAAGTAAACTTCTACCTCCCTAAACTTTTTAGGTAGCCAAATTTTAAATGCACCTACTTACAATAACAAAGTTTTCTCCCTCATGCAACCCACTTGTTTAGGTGCATGGCCAGGGCCACACTTGGCCTCTAAGTCTAAGGTAGAAAAAAACTTTTTTGTAATAGGGATAACATTTTTTGTTATTCCCGATCAATAACATAATGATACGTGGAGAAATTATCCCTTATGTTATGTCATTGTGTCATTAGTCAGGAATATAGTGATATCTCCGTTGCATGAGAGTTTCTCTCCTCTAAAGTAATCCCTCCCCCTTTTCCCCGAACTAATCACCACTAAAACAAGTTTCAATGAAACACGAAGGGACCGTGTACATAACTAACTACCCCTTCCTCTTTGGCACTCTCCCTACTTTTTTATATATAAAAATAATCACTTCTAAAAAAAGCTTCAATGAACATGAAAGAACCGTGTACATTATTCCCCCAAAACAACCCACCCCCCCCATCCCTGGCACTCTCCCTACCTTTTTTGAAATTAATCACTTCTTAAAAAAGCTTTAATGGCAACGTTCCACCAAGAAAGTAGCAAAATTACAAGGAAGAGGAAATAGCATCTTCAATCACGCACTTAAGTAATTTCACTACTCGCAATCCATGTGAATACCCAAGACCAAAATAACAAGTAATCCCAAACACATACGCAAAATAACTACAAACCAAAAAACCAAAAAAAAAAAAAAAAAAAAAAAAAAAAAAACCTTACTTTTGATCACTAATTCGAGACGCTATCTCAACACGTACTCCCTCTATATAAATGCCATGCTATATGCCAGGTAAAGGCAATCAATCTGGATCAACACAAACACCCAGTTATGGAAATGCAACGCAGGTCTTTGATTTTAGGTGTGGTGCTAGTAATTGGCTTTGCATTGACAAATAGCGAAGCTGCTCTTACAGTTCTACCCATTCATATTGACACTCCCTTCAACAGGAGCAGTTTTCCACCAGGTTTCATATTTGGCTCAGCTTCAGGATCTTACCAGGTCATGAAGTACCCTCTAGTATTTTCAATGTAAGACCAATATATATTGACATGTTCAGTGTGTGTAACATTTCAGTATGAAGGTGCTGCAAGTGAAGGTGGTAGAGGACCAAGCATATGGGATACCTACACCCACAATCATTCAGGTCTATCTAATCAAATAATCAATTAGTTAAGCTACTCTTTTCACTTTTGTGAATTTTCGCAAATAATTAAAAAAAAAAAATTACGATTAATTGCAGAAAGAATTGCTGATCGCAGTAACGGAGACATCGCTCTTGATCAATATCACAAGTATAAGGTTCAAAATGCGCTCTTCCCCTTTTGTACTTGAAGGTCGCATTGTGTACATACTAATTGAGCTTTGAAGCCTGAAGATGTGAGATCCTTAGTTTTTACCTTATTTCTTATGCTATCTTTTGTGTTCTGTACTGCAGGAAGATGTGGGTATTATGAAAGATATGGGGTTAGACGCTTACAGATTCTCTATCTCGTGGTCTAGATTGTTGCCAAGTAAGTTCATCATCTGCATTGACATATTTGGGTTGGACCAATCGTCACTATTATCCATAACAATTCCCTGTACTTTTTTCTTCTTGTTTTTTTTTTTCCTGCGTACACTTACTCTCCCTTTGTGTTTTTAGCTCAAGTAATGTATCCTATTGTCTACAGTACGTAGACTATAACCAAGATTTTGTTCTCAATTAAAAGGGGTTCATTGAAAGAATTGAACCAAATTGAATTAGAGTCGAACTTCAAGGCCACGAATATTAGTTTAATTTCTATTTGTAGATTGAGTTACTTCCTTATTTGCTTGCCTTTTGTTATAATTATTATCAGGTGGAAAGTTAAGTGATGGTGTGAACGAGGATGGAATCACATACTACAACAATCTAATCAATGAACTCCTGCGAAATGGTGAATCATCCCACATTACCTGCACTCATAAAAATTATTATTCAATCAAATTTTAATTTGCTTTTACTACTGATCATGTACATATAGGTCTAAAGCCATTTGTTACACTCTTTCATTGGGATCTTCCTCAAACTTTAGAAGACGAATATGGTGGTTTTTTAAGCCCTCGTGTTGTGTAAGTGAAAATTTTTATCCTCTATAAAATATAGATCATTAAATACATACTACTATAACATATATTCTGAAATGTGTATATACAGCAATCATTTTCAAGACTATGCAGAACTATGTTATAAGAAATTTGGTGATCGAGTAAAGTATTGGACCACGTTGAATGAGCCATATACCTATAGTAGCAATGGTTATGCATCTGGCTCTATGGCACCAGGACGATGCTCTACTTGGCAAAAATTAAATTGCACAGGCGGAAATTCAGCTATTGAACCATATCTGGTGACACACCACCTCCTCGCTCATGCGGCTGCTGCAAATTTGTATAAGAATAAATTTCAGGTCCAATCCATTAGTTCTTTATTTTATTTTATTTTATTTTCCCAGAATGTTGGTTCCTAATTGAGAATTCTATACGAGTGGTATTAAATAGAAATATAAGAGGGAAACTTTTGTATAGTGAGATAAACAAAGGTTGTCCATTTTTCTAGCTCTAAATAAACTAAGATTGGTGCTCTTTTGCAGGCATCTCAAAAAGGTGTGATAGGACTTACGCTTGTGTCACCCTGGTTTGTGCCTCTTTCTGAGGCAAATGAAGATCAAAAGGCTGCATTACGAGCTTTGGACTTTACTTTTGGATGGCAAGTGTATAGGGCAAGGGTCACTTTGATCCCTGTAGATTGCCAGATTTTTCACTTTGATTCATGTGGTTTTAATTCAGGGAACTTGATATCTGTAGTTTGATATTGATTGTTATTTAAGGACACATCAAAATTTCTGTCCAAAATACCTATCTACGTAAGGGACACATGCTTACTCAAATAATTGGATGGAAATTTGGATGTGTCCTTTAATTGCGATGGATATCAAACTACATGGATCAAATCGTCATAATTGAAACCACATAGATGAACTGAAAAATCCAACAAACACATGGATCAAAAGTGACTTTTTGTCATCTATATATCAACTCAGTTAAATGTTTATTTACAAATATAACATTTACTAGCAAAAAGTGCATTATAGAATACTAAGTTCATGCTTGGGAATTACATTGTTTTGTAGGTTTATGGAGCCATTAACAAGTGGTAACTATCCGCACATCATGCAGTCTCTTGTTCAAGGGCGATTACCAAAATTCACAGAAGAACAATCCAAGTTACTAATTGGGTCATTTGATTTTCTTGGACTAAATTACTATACTGGTTTCTATGCAAGTGATGCATCTCATAATATTTATGTACATGCAAGCTACATAACAGATACTCGCGTGAATCTTACATGTGAGTACAAATTGAAAACTATCTCAAGCAATCTAAGTTTTTAGAATAATTATATTTTAACATTAATATATGTTGTGGCAGCTGAGCGCAATGGAGTCCCCATTGGTGTAAAGGTAATAAATAGCGAAGTTTTAACTTAAGCTATTAGAAATTGCATGATTGATCGTTTTCACTTATAAATGTAACTCATAAAAATCTCAATTATCTTCAAATGGAACTGCAGAGTGCTTCAGATTGGCTAAATGTTTACCCAATAGGAATTCAAGATTTTTTACTCTACACAAAGGAAAAGTACAATGATCCAGTCATTTACATTACTGAGAATGGTAATAATTTTTTATCCTTAATTAATTTCATCATCAATGTTTCACATAAATATTGTGTAAAATACAATTAATTGCTATAATTTCTAATTCAATTCTATATAATAATGGGCATATTGTATAGGCATTGATGAGTTGAATGATCCAAAATTATCACTTAAGGAAGCTCTTTATGATACCAAGAGAGTTGACTACCACATGCTTCACCTCTTTTATGTTCAAAGTGCAATCAAGTAAGTTCTAATTGGCTACCACATGCCTCCTTGCATTTGGGTTATTAAACCATTACATTGAAATCAATACATTTGATTTTTATTTATTTTTTCCTTTTTGTCTAGAAATGGTGTCAAAGTTAAGGGATACTTTCTATGGTCATTGCTAGACAACTTTGAATGGAATGTTGGATACACTGTTCGATTTGGTATCAATTTTGTGGATTGCAATAATGGGTTGAAAAGACTCCCAAAACTCTCAGCACACTGGTTCAAAAGTTTCCTCAAGAAGTATTGAAGAAGTCCTATTATTCACAATATAAACGTTTAAATGGATCATTTCCTTCTTTCCTTATTTGTATTCCTTCAATAATGGGATTGTTATTTGTACAATATTAGGGAGATTACATTTGTGTACGATATTTAAATTCCAAATGATGAATAAAAATAAATGCCTATTATGTATCCAATTCCTTGCCTAATTTAACTTGTACTCGGACGAAATTGGAGCACATCTAGTTTGTTTTATGTTGAAATAAACTTGGAACAACAACCTTGTGTATAAGACTTTTTGAAAAAAAATAAATAAATTTATAGAGAAAAGGGATTTCATTCATAATCCAATAGGTTTATACATATATAATACAACATGAAAACAATGACCTCGTTAAAACCTTCCTAGGAAAACCGCATGGGAAAACCTTAGGGTAGAAAGAGTACCAAAAATATCATGGATTAACATAAGAGTCCAACCCAAAATCACTAAACCATTATAAATAAAGAAAAACAAACTACCAAACTACTAGAAGACACAAAGGACCATGCAGGAAAGCACACCAAAACCATCCTAAACTGTCAAAGAAAGCCTTCTATCAGAATAGTCATAATCCTTTCGGCACACAAAGGGTCAGAGCCACAAGAAACACACCAAGAAAAACATAGAGGAGGCAACACAGAACAACCCCATAGGATACTCCAACTCCTCCCAGAACCTGTCAAAGAAAACCTCCTATGATAGCAACCATAGTTCTTCGCAAAACGAAGGAAATAACCAGCTTGCAAAGAGTAAAAAAAGCAGGAGAAAGAAAACACAATGAAAAAACAAGAAAAATGAAGGGAAGATTGAAGGAGTACACCGCATTCCAAAACCCCAAAAGTCTTATAATTGGCCCACGATTCATATCCACATGACAATTTGACATATCCTTTGAAAATGCTCTTAGGTTTGAACTCAAGACTCTCTTCAATAAAATGGAAATTATGTGCCGCTATATATACCATATGAAGTTGGTGATGTTGAGTTTTGAAACTGGATTTCGAAGCCTTTGAGTAATGAAGTGTTAGGTTAATATGGTTGCAAATTTTGGAGAGAAACAATCAAAACAAAGTGCAAGCAAAAAGACAGCCCAACTATTTGGACTTGACAAGAGATCTAAAGTCTAAATCTTTGAGTCCCGGGCATGAGGGCTTTTTCTTTCTTCGAATGGACTTAGTGCATTACACATCCCCACCCAAGGATCCCAACCCATAAAATGGTTGCAAACTATTGGCAATTGATGATAAACCCTAAAGCCAACAGGAAGTTTTCATTGTCTTTTTTTCTTTTTTTCCTTTTTTCTTTTTGCCTATTATTGTAAAACAAATATGTCCAATCACGAATTTACTACCCATATGTATATCAAATGGAAACCCTTTTAGCTTGGCACTAGTCTTGCCAAGTGCCAAGCCAGGTGGTACTTAGCGATGGAAGATTAATGCGGTTCATGTTCCTCCATATTCTTGATGGCACCCCATGATTAAAGACCTAACCAACTATGAGAAAAGGTAATATGTGAGTTGACCCTTTGTCTTTTTATTTTCAAGGACAAAGAGAGAGAGCCCTCAACACTAATCCAACAAAGCTGATTATAACTTATACACATCGATCGGCCTCTCGTTGCTCTCTCTCTCTCTCTCTCTCTCTCTCTCTCTCTCAATGCTCATCTCTCTATGTCTATCTTCTACATGAAAAGGACCATAATGCTTACTTACTACCATTGCCTCCCTCCCTTATCTTAACTTTCTCTTTCTCTCTCTTATCATAATGGTCAACTTGCCACTCAACTTTTGAAGACTTTAGGAGTGAAAAAGAAGTGAGTGTTAATAATTGGAAATGACATTGATGTGGAAACTCGACGCGGTAAGCAGTTAAAATTGCTTCTGGTTTAGAAGTGTGACTGATTTTTGCCAACTAGGTCAAAAGACAAATTAATGGCCCCAACAATATCAGCCTTCATTTTTCAAATTTGTGCTAAATTTAGCCATTTATTTAACTTGAGGTTTCCTAATCCTTTGAAGTCACGCACATGATGAAGACAGTTTTATTTATTTATTTATTTTCTTATTGGGAGGAATTCGAGCAAGAAGAAGAAAATTGTTATGTCACACATGAGAAGAGTTTAGGTTTTGCTTTATCCCGCAATGAATCAAGAATTATCTGACTCAAGGGGCATGTGTTCAACTCCCCATTTCCCCAATTTCCCTTGTATAAATGGGATCAGCTGAAAGCTCAGTTAGAGTTATTTTTCTTTTATACTATAGAAAGGAAGCTGAGGTTTTGGGCTAAGGATTGGGCCTTCAACGAGGGATGAAATTGGTTGTCGGTTTATAGAGTTTAGAACACACTAGGAGAAACTAAGTTTTTTGAGTTAGGCTGGGTCTTATATAGACATCAAAATTATGAATCCCAAATACATGTCATTAACCAAACCATTTCAATAAAGCCTATTAACAAAATTATTTTTTTTGAAAAGGGATTTACCACATCATTAGTTAATGACTAAAAAAAGATGATGAAAAACTAGAGGCAGCTATAGTATTATATTGATTTGATATTTTCATTAGGATAATGCTAGGCTTACCACATTTATATACCGCATTATGTACTACCTCTCTAATAGAGGTAGAGCCCACCAATACTGCTAAGTAATAGTTTTACTAGAACTCTTTTGCATTCTCTATTACTGTAGTGACAAACGTTTTTTATGAAGTAAATAAGTAAGCAACAGGCCACCCAAATTGTATCACATATCACAGTTCTTGATGAAATGAACTCATTAAGAACATGTTTACTAATACGAAATTGAGGTAAGCAAATCATTAGAGCCTTCGATATTTACAGTACTTGACTAACCAAAACAAAGAGATGCATCTGTAAACTTTCAAGGTTTTCACTATTGTTGTCCCGCTTATGGGAAATCACTGAAACACAGACAGAATGTGTTATATATATATAAAATATTGTTTTGTTGTGAATAATTTAGGTACTGGACGGCTGTTCGACGCCTGGAGAAAGTCCCCGAAGGAACGCTCCCAGTCTGTCCCCCGGCCGGCACATGGCGACCCGCTCTTGCCACGGGAGTAGCTCGAGCAGTCCACTGACAGCCGACGGGTTCGGGAATATCACATGTAGGCTTGACTTGAGGCTGATATAACGTTAACCGGCCATATGGTCACAAAATCACCCATATGCTAGTGGGGAAACTGTTCTCATTTCTTGTTGTTGACCCCATTTGATCACAAACCCACAAGCTACCCAATTTCATTATCTAGAAGAAACCCCACCTGCATTTTCCTGAGGTCCACCACATGAATAAGAGCACAATTTGCCTACTAGGTTATAGGCATGCATTATTTCCATCTCATAGCCTAGCAGAACTACTTTTTCTTTTTCTTTTACTTTTTTGTGACAAGAACTACTTGGATACTAATTAAAGATGCTTTTCTTTTCTTTTCCTCTCCTTGCAATAACCATATAAATTTGAAAAGAAAAATAAATAAATAAAAAGAAGCTAGAAGAAAACAGAAAAATTATTCCTACGTCTGGCCTATAATATTGTTATCACTTAAATGTATTTGAGTCTTACGCGGTTGTATTGCAAAATTGCTTGGAAAACTGATTTTTTATATTAAAAAAATCTATACTATTATTATTAATAAGAAAAATTTGCTTTGTAACAACGGTATACTTTCATCTAAACTTATTAGACTGGGGCTGTTTTGCTCTTTAACAAGAAAACACTATCGTATGATGAGTCTCACACGATTATAATAAATAAATAAAAGTCAAGAGCTAGCTCTTTCATTTCATTTATTAAACCCGAATCGTGCAAATTAATACCTTCAAACTCGATTATGTATATATAGTTCCCTTTTATCGAAAAATAATATAATGTTTTTGCTGAATCGCTTAGATAACATTATTTGAGGGCTGAAGTACTATATGCATATATACAAGTAATGATGGGAGAAGGGAAAAACAAGAAGCGACATATGGGGACAAGGTCCATCAAGTTGGTAGAAAAGCACTGTTGCATACGTTGTTTACGTTACGCAATGGCATTGCAATAATATGTTGTTTTCTGAATGCAACAGTGCACAGAATTACAGTAGTTCGACCCAATTGGCTGCCAATGGCTTCAACCTAGTTGTTGACCAACCGAGTAACGAAACGTTTTTTTGTATATGCCCTGCCCACATAGTTACTTTGTTGTTGTTGTTTGCTTGAATCAATATATATATATATATATATAAGAGTCTTCAAGGCAATCGAGTTGAATTTTGGTGTGACTGAGTTTTCTCAAGGACAGATACCCCTTTTTGAAGTGATATAGATGATTCTCATGGACCTACAATTAAGTAGAAGATGCTAAAGAGGTCCCCTCTCCCTCGCATGGTCAATGTACATCTTCATTGATTACCTTGTCAAAGTTTTCAAAGTTTGCATCATCATAAATAAGAGATTTTGGGGTTCAAGCAAGTAATATCTCTATGCCCTAGATTTCAACAACATTGATCGGAGCCCATAATTAACCAAATTTAAATCATGCCTAAGCAAGGGTAGAGTAAGGAAATTTCATAGGAATATGCTATATTTTTTATTAAAAAAATTAAAAAAGTGCTCATGTGAAATAGCCTAATATGTTTACATATCAATAATGGGTATTAGAATCATTCTAATTCCTTATTCCCTTACTTCCCATGCATTGACTTACACCTAAGGAATGAAAAATTATTAGAGTTCCATGTTGAAATCCATAATCAAATACATTCAAAACTAGGAATCAGATCAAAGGGAGTAAATGTGAGCGCTAAACTCATCATTTTTTACCATTTGCACTGGGCTCGAGCTCAATTCAGCAGCCTAAGAGCATCTCCAACCGATATGTCAAAAGTGCTACATAGACATTTAACGATTAGAAATAACATTTCACATCACTCCAACCGAATTGTCAAAGCTGATGTGGAATGAAGGCTTGAGGTTCAACTGTTATTTTTGACATCCCAAAAGCAAGATGTCAAATGAATATTTTATTATTTTTTAAAGACAGTTAGTTGTAACTTTCATTTATTATTTTCCTTTTTTATTATTTTTCTTCTTTATCTTAAATGATTTGACTGTTACAATAATTATTTATTTGACATATCGGGTGGAGTATAAAACTATGTAAATGTCAAATTGCCACATCAGCCATCAAATTTAAATTTGATGTTTGATATTTGACATCTCCCTTGGAGATGCTCTAAGGGTGGCTCCAACCTTTATGCCTAAGGTGATTAATGACAATAAGTTTGGTATTAATTAGTTTACGGAAAAAAAAATAAAAAAAAATAAAATCTATGTATTTAGGTTTAGCGGATGTCCTTTTCTTTTAGAGGGCTTCAAAGGGGTGCAGTTGTGAAACTAAACGCATGATTTTGTAGAGTTCTTCTTTGATGTCAAAAGCCGAACCTTTTTTGAACCCTTTCAAACTAAAGTTTACCCGGCTCCTTTTCTTGTGTTCTTTAGGCTAACATTTAAGTAATTGTTTTTTCCATTTACTAAACTCCAAACTTTTCAACCAAGTCAATTTGGTCATAAGGACGCTATTATACACAAAAATAAACATATAAGTAAATTTATCATCCCATTTTCAAATAAACCATAGACCTTTAGTGATGTTTGTTTTTCCTTGTTTTTATTTTTATTTTACCTATTAATAAAAACTATGCATTGTAGTGTAAGTATATTCATGTATAAACGAAAGAAGTCTGTCTTCAGATTTTGAGGGCCCTGTGCGAAACTTACATTAGAGCCTTCATATAATCTAACAAAAAAATACAAAGAAAAAAAACTATTACTTAATGCAAGAGAACAATTTTTTTGTTTTTAAACTAACAATCATCATCAATTAGCAAGAATTTATGAAAGGATTTAACGTTTTAATTTGAGAAAGTTAAATACCACATAATTCTTCTATTTTTGTATGTGTTTCCTTTTCTTTTCTTTTTTTGGTAATAACAGGAAAAGTGTCCAATATGAAACCTCTTACTAGAAAGAAAAAGAAATCCCAAGGGAAGGAAAAGGAAAAAAAGAAATGACTTACTATCTATAGGCCCACATGAGAGTCCAAACAGCTTTTTTAAATAAAAAAAAAAAAAAAAAAAAAAAAAAAAAAAAAAAAAAAAAACTGAATAAAAAAATAACTTAAAAATAAAACCATTGATGCGCATTCACTCAGCTTTCAAACCTTCGTCACAAATAAAACAAGTAGCTTTGCAAATCAATACAACCAAACAAGCGCTTGTGTAAATGTCCTGAATGTTTGATATATACTATATGTAAAATATTAATATACACATGGAAAAAAATTTGGGGCCCTAAAAAAGCACAGGTCGTGTGCGGTAGCGCCACTTGCACTACTCCAAAATCACCTAGTTTGTGCAACAGCTTCTCAAGAGCTTTGCCTTAAGAAAATCAGCACTCTATCTCCATGGTGCTTATTGCTTTCAAATATTTTCTTCTTATCCACTTCCCATTTTGAGAAATGGGTTCAGTGTAAAACATTGAAATAGATTCCTATTTTAAGTTGAGCATGAGACACACCCAGTCGAAAAATAAGGTTCGAATGTTATTAGAAGCAAGACAATGACACTTTGATGATCATAATTGTATGAAGACCCTAACTATAATATCCTTCCTAGCTAACAAGAGGGTTGGTACGTTTGTCTTTAGAATATATATATATATATATATATATAATAGCAGTTCTTCTCACATCCGGACGTATCTGCGGACGCAATAAACAGGAAGGAAAATAAAGAGGGTATCTGACGTATCTGCAGACGCTATAAACAGGAAAGAAAATAAGGAGGGTATCTGCATAAGAGAAAATCTGTATATATATATATAATAGGTATATATTTCCTACACTTGATTCATATGATTGGGAGGACTGTATGCTCCTCACATGGAGCTAGATGTGTTAAATAACTATTTCTCTGTAGCTCTCATGTGGATCTAAGTGGTGGTGGGGTCAATCTTTTTATTTGTTGTCAAAATGCAACAAGTTGGGTAAGATTTTTTAGATCTCTCGCTGGCAATGTGGTTATCATAATTTCACAAACTGGGAGAGGCAGGAAAGAAATATATATATATGCATAAATAGGACTACTTTTGAAAAAGTACCGCCCAATTCTTGCTACTTGCTAGCAACTTCATTGTTTGACCGAATGTGTTGGGTTAGTGGAAATTCCCCAATTGGTTCACACTTCACAAAATCATGAGAAAAAACTAATAATATTACAAAATATTTTCCACAGTAAACCTACTCTCCAAAGCTCAGGTCCACGAAATCTAATTAAAAGGACCGACCTCCATCCAAGTGAATATTATCTTTAGCCCCAAAAAAATTAAATTATAAATATACAAAATGAAAACGACAGACATAATTAAAATTCGGCTAAAAAATCCCCATGAAACCTAAATTGGATAGACTTCTAGATATATATATATAGCTTCAGTGGAGAGATCCCTCAAATATGCTTATTTGAGGGACATCCTTGTAGGGCTAAGAAAACCTCTAATTAAGTTCATTGCAGCTAAGTAGTGCATGTCCTAATTAATACTCACAGGCTGAGAGTTGACATTTAAAACCTAATTAAGTTCATTGCATGCTAAGTAGTGCATGTCCTTTTAATACTCATGTTTAGAAGTGTGGACAAGTAGTTAGGCAAAACAATTTATAACCACAAATAAATATCTAGGCGTACACATTAGTTCATATTATATATGCAGAAACCTAAGAAACAATTGAGTAAGCACATCATGTAAAGGATATCCTCTATTGGTTTTGATATTTACTATTTACTATTTACTATTTTATTTTGTGTTGTGGTATATTCGTATCTTTTGTATTAGGCTTGGAGCTTCTGCATTTCTGCTTCCCCAGATTCATTCATGCATATCATACACAACGCGGGGCCTCCATAGGCTTCCCATACTTCACTTAGTTACAAGAAACTTACCACTTATGCCATACAACATTATTGCTTCATCAATATATAGGGGAAGGGGAAATAATTAATTACTTTATTGGGATCTCATAGCGGTGAATTTTGATTTTGGTGAGCCCAAGGAGAACTTCTATGTACCGTGTTTAGCAGATGAGGTTCCCGGTGTGCATTGTGTTAGGTTTCCTTTCTTCTTTTTCATTTTTTTCCTGTTTTTTCAATTTAGAAGGATAAACTTCATCAAAACTTTCAGAGCCAAAAATTCAGAAGTTGAGTGGCTAGAGAGAGAGAGAACATTGCAGTAAAGTCTTTAGGTGGCGCCCCTTCCAGCATTGCTGACTCTTAATAATATAGAACACAGGCAAAATCTTTTTGTATATGTTGTCGGACTATGAATGAAATTCTCGATGTATATGTTGTCAGATTTTGAATTAAATTCTCGATTTATAAGATAGAATTATGGGCTCATTTGATATTTGCTTTCCTTGAGCCAAAAATCACTCATCTTGAAAATTTTCTTCATCGTATCTATCCAAATTCACAATTTAGCAACATATAGTAGCTAAAGTGTAAGAGAGGTTTTAAAGAATTTCTTCAAAGGGCACTCTACTGGTAGGCTAACGTCTCGTCCCACCCCCACCCCACCCCCACCCCCAACCTCCAGTAGCAGCAGAACACAGTTACACAACACAAGTAGGTAAAAGAAGGAAGCAGGTCAACGCTTTCCCCCAATAGCGTGACGTCATCGTCCACGTCATCCTGCAGACCTGTCCCATCTCTTCTCTGCTCTCTGGGCCCCACCTTCCCATCCTCCCTCCTCCCTCTTCGCTCTTTAAGTACCCCTGCAAAGTCCCAGCCTTCCAGCCCACGTTCATAAATTCATCTTCACTCCTGCACTCCACTCATCAAAAATCTCCCAAACCCTTCCTAAAACCCTAAACCCACGCGCCAATGTACGGACACAACAGCACCGCATTCCCACGCGCCGCCGACTTCCAGTTCCAGGGCTCGCCACCGGCTCATCCGTTGCTTTATCATGAGCAGCTGCTCGTCTCGGCTGAGTTCAGCAACAGCTGCAGCAGCGGCTCCAGCAGCTACGGCGCCTCCCCGATCAGCAGCTGGACTGGTGGTGGCGCTACGCTGATTCAGCGCAGCGTCAGCAGCCATTCGCTCCAGAAGACCTCTTGCGGGACCCACAGGCTGGTCTCCGACTTGCTCGAGTCGGAGACCGGCCCCGTCCGTAGGGTTTACAGCACCGGAGACTTGGATTTGCAGGTTCGATATGTACAGAGAGTTAGTTAATTTAGTTACTTCAACTAAAGTGACTCAAATGCCCACATTAATTAATGTCTTTCTCTACCATTTCACACCCTCACAGATACGCATAAAAACTAATCACAATGCATAATCAAGTTTTTAGGTGCATGAGAGTGGTTTAACAATATGTTGTACGATAAATGTTTATATTAGTCGTAGCAACAATTAACATAATCAATAGTTTGTATATATGTTAACAGACTTCGACACATACATACAAAATTTTACATGATGTGAATAGTTCAAATTTACTGTGTATGATCCTACAATCAGACAAAAATTAACATGATTAATACTTTAGAAAATTCTTCAAACAGTGCGACGAGATAACATTTTTGCGATTTTACTACCCAAATATTGCCGACAAAAGTTAGCGTAATTAGTAGTTTAAAATATTCTTAAAACAGTCTGACAAGATAACATTTATGCAATTTTACTTCGTAAATATTTCTTGTGGGGTTGTTGAGTTTGAGTGGAATTATTTTGTGTTTTGTGCCATAATATATATATATATTGTGGACGCATGCAGCTGATAAATAATATGAACAATGGAATGCCACAGCAATTGCAATATTGTGGTTACAATAGATCATCATCAGAAACTAGTCCCTTGTCGAGTGAGAGCAGTATGATCATAGAAGGGATGAGCAAAGCCTGTCGATATAATCCTGAGGAGAAGAAAGAGAGAATTGAGAGGTATAGAAACAAGCGCAACCTCAGGAACTTCAACAAGACCATTAAGGTTACTTCAATTATTTATTTATTTATTTGCTTCAATAATATACATATATATTTTTTAATTTGCTTCAAAATATAATAGATCATTCGAATTTTTTGACTAGTTGCTGCTTGACCCAATGACCCACTAGCTAGCTCTACTTTAAGCTTTATGGCATGAGTGTGTATATAGTTATCTTATTGCTTTTTGGCCCACAATTGCTCACATCAATTATATTTTCATGTAAATTTTTTGCTTCCTATATATATATCATTCCAAGCTTTGGTGTGTGTCACATCCTACATTGCTTTTATTTCATTTTCAACTAGTGTAAAAGATATGCTAGTGCACGTTTGACATATGCGCTGTTGATAGTTTTAGTGGTCTTTTGGATGCAATAGGAGATAGCCATAGCTAGCTCAACAATTGTTTGAAAAAATTGGATGAAATGACATTCTATCTGTGCACTTGAATAATTTATGCATGGAAATTGTTAAACCTTGGCACTCCGATTCGTATAATAGTTAGACTTGGCACTCCGTTTTAACTTGTTTTATTTCAACGTGTAGCTAGCGTGCGAAAGAAATATAGAATACTTATTTTCAAGTACTAACGTGCACCTACTGTATGTTGTGATTTTTCATGGGGGTTGTCACCATCTATGGTATGTGATGCAATTGAGTAAGTTAATTCCAATTTAGTATGAAATACTGTAATCGATTTTCTTTAATTATCACATAAAATTTTAATTATATCGACAGTCCAAAACTTTTTACCTTTCTGCTGGTCAATATCTTTTTAATTATATAATGCTTAACTAATCCTGTTTGCAGATCAACTTTCATTCCATCTTTATGTCTATGCAGGTCGTAATAACAGACGTTCAACCTTCTATTGTCTTACCCTTTGGATGTCTGTTTGAAATTGTAAACTTTCCCAAGAGAGAGTGGTACATCAATTTTGGTTTTTTGCACTAGTGCTAGATCAATTAACTTCTTCTACTTGGAAACCAACTCTAGATCTGAATTGCACAAGCATGAACCCCCTTTTGATTGAATAATAAATTGACCAAACAGCCACACAAAATGTTCTGGTAACTTGTAATGTGTCTCAACCACAAAAGGGTATTGGTTGTCACAAAGAATAATATATGTCAAATGATATATAGTAGTAATATAGAACCATGTTACTTTTGTATTTATGTCAGTGCATTTCATCCTGAACTTTCTCTTTTGCCCTTTCTCTTACAAGCACTAATATAGCATTCCTGAATTCAGTATGCTTGCCGGAAGACGTTGGCGGACAGCCGGCCACGCATCAGAGGACGATTTGCAAGGAATGACGAAATTGAGAAGAACTCTCCTGTTCAGTGGAGTCACGTAAGTGGGGAGGAAGACGAGGAGGACGGCGATAGCTGGATCAACCTTCTGGATGCATTCTCTTCTATTGAATCTAATTCCATGATCTAGTAACATATAGGACCACTCTATGTGTCATGTTTTAGCAAGTGGCTAGGAAAATTTTAGGCTGCTTGGTTTGAACTTTAATTATTATTGTTATTACTATTATTATGCAGAATGCCGCACTTTAAGCGCTATTTAGCTTGAAGTAGGTGATGTAAATATAGGTGATTTGGAATGACAATGTGCAATTTTTAATTAAGACTTAAATTAATCAAGGATTAAGTTTTAGATTTGCCTAATTTGGCTTATATGAGGTCGTGTTCAAGCTTTACTTTAGTGACTACTGATTGGAAAAAATGAAAACAAAGTCATTTCATTGAAAAAGAAGAGGAAAAATAGAGTTGATTAAATAGGCATATGGTGACGAGTCATTCTATGGTGAGGATGTCATATATAGATCATAAATGTGGACCTTTATATTAGCCACATGATTCATCTAAATAGTAACTTCACTTAAGTTTAATAAAATGATCTTATGGCTATCATGAAGGTCCACATGAGAGGTCTTTATATGGCACCCTCATTATAGAATTTCAAATGTGATAACAGTCACCATCTTATGTGTCAATATGTGATAGAGCCCATCAAGTTATATGCAGCCTATATATTCAAACTTAAAAGTAGCACAAATTTGTGTGCTTTTCTATATTTTCTTTCCTTGAGCTCATATATTTATAGGATGTTTTGGAAAGCCTAAATGCTAGGACCCCAATTCCTAACTATATGGTGTTGCAAAGTAAAGTGGGTCGCAAGTTACCTGTTGGCCATTTCCAAGTTTTGATATTGACATGCAGGGGCATGCCCGGTGTACATCGGTTCGAAACCAATACAATTTAGTCAATTCGCATCCGATTCAATATAGATTGGATCATGATTTTTTCAATCTGGTCTAATCATATTAGATGTTTAAATCCAATCCAATCATATTACTATTTAGCTTGAAGTAGGTGATGTAAATATAGGTTATTTGGAATGACAATGTGGATTTTTTTAATTAAGACTTTAATTAATCAAGGGTTTAAGTTTTAGATTTGCCTAATTTGGCTTATATGAGATCATGTTCAAGCTTTACTTTAGTGACTACTGATTGGAAAAAAGACGAAAACAAAGTCATTTCATTGAAAAAGAAGAGGAAAAAAGAGTTGATTAAATAGGCATATGGTGACGAATCGTTCTATGGTGAAGATGTCATATATAGATCATAGATGTGGACCTTTATATTAGCCACATGATTCATCTAAATAGTAACTTCACTTAAGTTTAATAAAATGATCTTATGGCTAATATAAAGGTCCACATGAGAGGTCCATAAATGACACCCTCATTATAGAATTTCAAATGTGATAATAGTCACCATCTTAAGTGTCAATATGTGATAGAGCCCATCGAGTTATATGCAGCCTATATATTCAAACTTTAAAGTAGAACAAATTTGTGTGCTTTTCTATATTTTCTTTCATTGAGCTCATATATTTATAGGATGCTCTGTAAAGCCTAAATGATAGGACCTCAATTCTTAATTATATGGTGCTACAAAGTAAAGTGGGTCGCAAGTTACCTGTTGGCCATTGCCAAGTTTTGATATTGACATGTAGGGGCATGCCGGGTGTACATCGGTTTGAAACCAATACAATTGAGTCAATCCGCATCCGATTCAATATAGATTGGATCGTTATTTTTTCAATCTAGTCTAATCATATTAGATGTTTAAATTCAATCCAATCATATTACTATTTAGCTTAAAGTAGGTGATGTAAATATAGGTGATTTGGAATGACAAAGTGGACTTTTTTTTTAATTAAGACTTTAATTAATCAAGGGTTAAGTTTTAGATTTGCCTAATTTGGCTTTACATGAGGTCATGTTCAAGCTTTACTTAAGTGACTACTGATTGGAAAAAGATGAAAACAAAGTCATTTTATTGAAAAAGAAGAGGGGAAAAGAGTTTATGAAATAGGCATATGGTGACGAGTCGTTCTATGGTGAGGGTGTCATATGTGAATCATAGATGTGGACCTTTATATTAGCCACATGATTCATCTAAATAGTAACTTCACTTAAGTTTAATAAAATGATCTTTATGGCTACTATGAAGATCCACATGAGAGGTCTAGATATGGCACCCTCATTATAGAATTTCACATGTGATAACAGTCACCATCTTATGTGTCAATATGCGATAGAGCCCATCAAGTTATATGCAACCTATATATTCAAACTTCAAAGTAGCACAAATTTTTGTGCTTTTCTATATTTTCTTTCCTTGAGCTCATATATTTATAGGATGTTCTGTAAAGCCTAAATGCTAGGACCTCAGTTCTTAACTATATGGTGCTGCAATGTAAAGTGGAGTGCAAGTTACCTATTGGCCATTGCCAAGTTTTCATATTGACATGTAGGGGCATGCCAGTTGTATATTGGTTCGAAACCAATATATTTAGTCAATCCGTATTCAATCCAATATAGATTGGATCGTGATTTTTTCAATCTAATCTAATCATATTAGATGTTTAAATCTAATCTGATCTGATCCAATTGATATTTGATTGGGTGATCGGGTTTGATAATGGAAAAAAAGTAATGGAATATTAAACATTTATCCTTAGGTTTAATCTAACCAAACATATTAATAGACATAAATGTAAAATATAAATGAAATACTAGATAAAATTGTTTTGATTATATAATACATTAAACATAACTCCATTAAATGACCTTAAATATTCATAACTTTTCAACTACAAATACCTAAAGGCCTCGTTTGGCTCATGGAACGAATTTGAGGGGAAATCATTTCCCATGTCATTTCCCAATATATGGGAAATGGAAGATTCCTTTCCCACATTTGGTAATGTTGGGAAAGTAACCTAGAAATATCACTTTATTTCATTTCCCATGTTTGTTTTGAATAGGAATGGAAAACAAAGTTTGTATAAATTTGCAATTATACCCATATTAAATCAAATAAAAAAAGAATGCATTTAATGATATATTATAATTCTAAATTGTTAATGGGGACAAAATGGTATGAAAAATGTTTATTTAATATTGGCTCATTTTCCCAACTTTCCCATAATGAGGGAAAAGAAAACCCAAGTTTGGAGTATGACTTCACTTTCCTCCCTACTTTCCTATGGGCTAGGCAACGATTTCTCATGCCTGGACTTACCAAACATGAGAAAGCAATTGATTTCTCATCCCCAAGTCTCCTTTCCATGAACCAAACGGGGAGCAAAATAAGCATAAAACTAACTAGATTGGATTAGATTCTCATGAGGAAATCTGCCATCCAATCCAATCATATCGGTTTTCAAAATTACATATCCAATCCAATCCGCCAAATCATCGAAACAAATTGAAATTGGATTGGATTAGATTGGATTAGTCAATTTGGGCAAATTGAATTGGATCTTGTACACCCTACCTTAAATTGTCTAAGTTTTCTTGTGTTGTTTGCAACGATAAAATTCTTATCAAATTTACTTAAAATTTTCACATAAGTGATTAGCAGTATAATTAATAAATATGATAAATGTAACATTACACTTTTTGCAATTTCGACGATTATTAACAACACTCCAGTGTAGAACATGTAGCACGTGTGGAATAAGGACTATAAAATTCTATAATGTTTTTTTCCCCTTGTGACTCTTCGATCAATAAATTGTGTATATAAGACTCTGAATTCAGGTGTTGTTTTGTAGCCTCTTGAAGACAAATTTGGTTCATTAACTAAAATAAGATTGTTTTTTTCTTTGTTTTCTTGGAATTCAATTGAGGGATCAACAAGGTTTCTATTATTTCCGTGAGAAATTCAACTGAGCTCTAATGAAAATTACGTATTTTTTGATGGTTAGACTATTGAAGTTGCACTCTTGGATCATTAGAGTAGTTGGAGATGTTGAGAGGCACAAGACCAATAAATATGCCTAGCAAATCAATCAATCAATCATTTTCTGTTTCATTTGAGGCGATGAATGAATCAGTTACTTCACCACATGCAAGCTTCCTAATTGGCAATTGGAATGTGATCATCAGTTTTGTCACAAGATCGACTAAGGGGGGAAAATGGGCATGATTTATACTTATCAATGTCATCTCTCAATCAACCTCATATTGCCAAAATGTGTAAGTTAAACCCCTATTTACTGATGTAAATATGCCACCTAATTTCTTGGGTGAATGGACGAGGACAAAGTACATGAACTCTATCATTTACAAATGTGACTTTTAATAAAACGTGTCTTCTAGAAAATCATAAAAAGAACCGCAATATGCTCGTCTCGTCGTAGCCAAAATAAGTTTACTACGAATAAGCCATGAATCACGTCATTGTGTTCTTTATATATGTTGTTGCATATGAATTTGTTTCCACTGTAAACACGGTATGTGACCAATTTAACAGTGGAATTAATCCTTATGAGCTAAATTAAACTTTAGGGCACTAACCCAACTAGCACGAAAAGCTCCATCATGCATCTTATAGGGGGCGTATAGACCGCGTATGGCCAAAAGGCTCAAGCAGCTCCTAAACCCACTTCCATCCTCTTTACAAGCCATACACCACTTAATTTGTCTATAAAAGTACAAAATTTTTAATCAATCTTTGTGCTAATCATTTGGTTGTTCATGTTACTGAATGATGAGAGATACTTAATTACTATTAAGTTTCAAAGTTAGAATTATTATAAACTCAATGATCCCTCTTTTTTCTTTAACCAAAGGCTATGGTTCTTGAGGAAAACTCTAGGACGGCGCTCTTGATTTTTTGTCGGCCGGCCGTGGCTAAACCATTATGTTAAACAAGGATTAAAAAAGCACATTAATTTTAAATAATATCTCATTAGCTCCAATATAGGAATTGCCAATCATTACTTTGGTAAAAAACAATGCTGCACTTGCAGCCAAAAAGTTCACTCAACACTGAATGCTTTAAGTAGATATTTGAAGATTGAAATTACTTTCGGAGGTTTATTTTTTCTATTAAGAGAATCATGTAAGCCCAAATAGAAAACTGTGCATATATAATTTTAGAAAATTGTTTTCTTTGAGAACTGTAATTATGTTGCCATATAGTAAGTTAAAATTACTCGTTAGATTTATTCTTGTCAGAATGTGTGCGGTACATATTTGATCGACAACGAGCAATGTGTGGTAAATTGCATTGCAAAAGGGCCCGATAAATTCATTACTCTTAAACTTCTGTGCTCAATAATTAAACAATAGAAGAATGGGTTTGAATTGAAGTGCTGCCCCCGACTGGTTTGGAAAAGGGGAAAGGCAAATGGTGGAATGATTCAGCAGGATGGACAAGAGGGGTCATGCCACCACCGTAAGGCCATTACTTTGTGATAAAATAACAAAACTATTCAACTGACAATAAAGACACCAAAAACAAGTGCAATGGCACATGAAGAGCAGTAACAAAATTTGGTAAGACTACCAAGTCTATGATTATGAGACTTTTAACATAGCTTCCAGATGCCAGCAAAACGTTCCCTTTTGCACCACCCTATGTGGAGCATGGAAAATCCATTGTTTTGTTAGAGTGTGTTTCCTTCACCCCCACTCTATTCTTGTGTAGATGTTTTGATTTTATCTTCAATCAAATTTAAACAAATTAACTCTCCCAACTAGGACGACAATTTTATAAATTTTTTTATCCAAGCCATATTGACAGGGGAATTCGAACACAAACAACCATTGTATCGTCAATCAGATTTGAATACATGACCTTTTCTTTCCACATACTATTAATATTTATATACCATTCTACATGTTGATACTAAAATGATATTTGGTCATGATAATATCCACTCAATGTGTATGTTTTAACCATATGCATCGTAAAGTTGTAATTTAGTACTTAGTGTTAGTCATTTACTTTCCTTTAAATGTTTAAGTTTTTCTTCTCTTTTCAATTACATATAATTGAATTGAGCACCTACGAAAACAATGAACATTCTATGAAGAAGAGTATCAATAAGGCATAGAGTTTGACCGGAAAAGGAAACCTAGGCCCAATAAAGTATGAACAATGAAATTATTTCACACCTATTTTGATGTGGTATTTTTGTTTTTCGGATTTAGGAACTTACTATTCCTTTTTTTAATTAGATTAATTTATTTACTCAACCTCTCTTCGGGATTTATAAACTATAGCTACAATTTATGTACAATACTATACTGTACATAAAATAGTTTCAGAAAAATATATATATATAGTTGAGGGATCCCTTATTTGAGGGACACGCTTGTAAAGACCAGTCGGTACTCTATTTCACTAATATATAAAATACAAACAGAAAAAGATACTAAATTTCAGCTTAATTGTAACCGAAAAAAATTATGGGTTCACAGTCTAAGCCCCAAGTTGATGGTAAAGGCCCAATTGGGCAGAGTTTTTTTGGGTCTAACAATTGGGCAGAGTTGGGCCACAAGAAATAGCATAAGCACAAGTCATTTAGCTACCAAGCTTATGTGGTAGCACATTGTTACTATTGGTTTTCAATTTTCTTTAGTTAAAGGTATAAAGAGAAAGATATGGGAAAAATGAACGACGAAGATGAGAGAAGTTAAAAAGAAAGCAAAAGCAATACATAAAAAAACTAAAATGTAAGAAAATACAAAAGAATTCTCTAAAGTTGTTTTAATTTTTTCCATATGTGAAACGAGTGAAAAAATGAGGCAGCACCTCACATTCTCCTTTTGACTTAATTAAAGGACACAAATGAAGAAAAAAGAATCACAAAATTAAACCTCCTAAGCAAATCATGACAGATAAAATTCAGGCAAAGGATCCGGATCCTATGATTTGAAGACGATGTGTCAACTTAAAGTCCTTTGGATGATATTTTAATGAGGTGGCATACGTAGGAAAGAAGTCGAGTAAATCGTGGCAGAGAAAATCCAATATGGGACAGGTGTGACAACATTTTATTTGTTTATATTTAGGCCTATTATGAACTTTATTTATAACCAGTAAATAACGATCATGTTACATGTCAAACTAGTTGGTCATAAAAAGTTAGAATAAGGTAGTGCTGATAAAACAAAATACTACATTGAACAGAAAACTGAAATCGATAAAGGACACACTGCACACCACGGAGCTGTTCATTTACCTGAAACTATCAGTCTATCCCTTACAAATATTCCAGCATAACGTAATTTGGACCAACCTTGTTTTCTTCCTATTTTAAAATTAAATATATTTTAAACAGTTATGATCTTTTTTGTTAAAAAAAAGTTTTAAGTTTAATGCTGGAAGAATAAAGCACTCACGTTGTGTATGCAATTAGAAAAAATGTGTAAATACTGCACTGTCTACAACTTCTAATTTTATTGTCAATAAATAATAAGGATATACTGTATAGGAGTAAATTTGACATTTCCTATACGATCATTGACAAAAAGAATTTTCTTCATAGAAGATTCCATACAAACATAAACAAAATTGATATTAACATCAAAATTTAGAATAGACCCAGTGAGGGCCGTTGACAAATCTAGGGCCGTTAAACATGAATGCATGCCTAAAAAAAAAAGATGAATATGCAACTTTCCTCACCTTCACATATGCTGATCAAAACTCTCCTCTCTTTTGTTGGGATAACTCATTATGCCGATCATTGCACACAGTCATGCCATCTTGATTTTTCTTTTACTTTTCCGAGTCTTCTTGAAAGGTATAGTATGCAACAATCGCTTGAGAGGAAAGTTCTTCGCTTGATAAGGTGTCTTCCTTTTCGGTCTAGATTTCCCTGCATCATCTAACAGGCATGTATAAGCCATGGATGGATAAGAAAATTTTAGAAGTAGTACAAAGATATAACAAAAAGTTGGGGTGGAAGATAAAGTAGGTGAAACTGATGTATATTGATTAAGAATTTTGGCAAAAGTCATTTGATAGATAGCTAAAGAGATAAAATCACCCTGAAGATTCATTGAGCAAAGAAACCTCTAACAGTGAACCCTCTTCTGCTATAGTCAAGCATTGAGTTTGAATCTTGTAATGCACAATTTATGGTTTTACTCAGCTTCTCAGGAACACATTCTCTATATGGTGGCAGTGACATAATGGAATCATAGACAGTACATAATCACACAAGTCCTTAAGGCCAACCAACCCAAACATGAAGGACCAGGAGGACAGGCAATAGTTATATGTTTCCAAAGTTTATGTTTAAATTCCTACTTTGAAACAGAATTAGTAATTCTCATAAGTCCGACTTCACAGCAAAGAAACCGATAACCAGGCAGATTGGAACACTAAATACCAATACATAATGTAAATGAAAATACAAATGAAAAGAAAAAGTTGAGCTGAAGACGTGCATACTGAAAGAATACCTGGTATGGATTGAATTAAGGCGGGATCGTTCATTTCAGTATCAACTTTCCCAAGTTCTTCCCCTTCCATTGTCACCTCTGCTGAGAGGTGAGTTGCAACTGAATAATCACCAATTATTGTCATATCATCATTAGACTCCAGAACAGGAACTTGATTTGCAAGTATAACTGCATCATCCCCAGATTCCCTAAATTGTTCATTCTCTGAAGTAGGCAATGATGATGAATTCAACAACAAAGACTTTTCTTCTTTACTTTCCACATCTACCACTGTTAAAATTTCGTCCAGATAACTTTGGGTATCAGAACTTTTAACACACTTAGCCTCTTCATTATGAGGAGCAGGAATATCTGTATCCTGATAATTAGTGGAAATTTCAACTTCAGAATTAGCATTACAAGCAGCATCTAACCCAATCTCTAATGTGTGAAATGTTAAATTATCATTAGCTGGCACAACATTCAATTCGCGATTAGTCACACACTTCTGTGGTTGAAAATCATGAATTTCTGTTGTAATCAAGTCAAAATTACCATCAGTGCCATCTGGATTCTTTGGTTTTGCTTCAGTGGTTATTGTAGGAGCTTCAATTTCCATAGCATCAATAAAAGCTTTGGTAGTATCAGAAGATGAATATGATTTCTGAGGATTTTGACAGTCAAACATTTGTTGCTCCAACAGACTATCACCCAGAGAAGTTTGACCTGATTGAAGAAAACATAGCCTGTCAGGCTGTTCTGGCACTGCAGCAGTCACGACTGATTGTTCAATTGCCTCAGAAGCAGAAACAATGCTTTTACAAGTACCCATTGATTGGGACGCAACCACACCAGATCCAGATATCAGATCCTTGACTTGAAATCCAAGTGATGGCATGCTGTCAATGACTGAAGCAAAATCAATGGCTTTTGTAGTCTTGGATACTTTATTAATGGAGGTAGTGAAAGCCTTAGCCAAATCGTCTAATAGAATGTCACCATCCCCACTAGAGATCGGATCCCATTTAAACGAGTCAATAGACCAAGGTTTGTTCGCATCAATTTCTTCACCTGATGATACCACTTCGACTCTTATGGCTTCCTTGAAAAAGTGTTTCTTTCTCATAGCATTAGATATTATAGTCCTGCACGAAATTAATGAAAAAAATTTGGGATGAATTAAACATCAAATCTTCAAGACTGACATTTATGAAAACTATCATACCTACAATTTCTTGAAATAGCCATTTTAGCTCGCTCCATTGAGAGACCAAGCAATGACATTAAGTTGGCAACATCATATGGCCCCCTAAATTCATTTGCGGTTGGGGCAGCACTTGAAACTATTAGATTCCTTCCTCGAGACCAATCTACCAGTAACTGAAGAACAATGCGGGAGATGATGAGTCACTATATCTCTTAGAAGCTAATTAAAACACAAACAATTACACAACAACTATGTTACAATGAAGAGTCTTCCCGAGCTGTACACACGCACACACGTGCGCTTGTGTACATATGTATTACAGACCTAGGAACTACACCTTGCACTATATTCAAACCATTTCTCATATCTTAGAATCAAAGCATACTCAATCCTCATTCATTTCCAAGAAAAAATACCTTTCAGAATTCAAACAAACAAGGACATTATCCATGCATTCCTTAGCACAGATTAAAAAAAATGCAAAACTTCATTACAAGGATCATTTTAAATTCAGAAAATAACTGAAAAGTTGTCACCCAGATAGAGTTATGAATGCTCTCAAAGGACGCTAAATGATAATAACAGACTTCATAGAGAATTGTAGCATATTATTATTCTGGTTGAGCATTGGCATACTTCTACAAGATATGCAACCAACATACAAGTCCAGTAGAAATTTTGTAAAGTAGTGGCTGAACGGGGAGGCGTGTGTAATGCCATGTTCTGACCCTACAACATTGTGTAGTGGAAAGTAAAATTCACTATATCACAATGTTCTTGTAAAATTTAATTTTAACCCATGTCATAATATCTTTGGGAAATAAATTACAAACCATCATTGCCTACTGCTTCAGCTATTTGGGACCCATCTGATTAATATCCAATTAACTTTACAAATCCTCACCTTAGCATTGGTTATTATTTGCTTTCTCGCTTGATCATCAGCAATGATATTAGAGTATGTGATCTCGAAATACACTCCACGCTGCATAGCCAATAAAATTAAATTCTTACCATCTAATTAAATAAACTGAAATAAGGAAGCAAACAAAATCTCTGAGATCAAACCTCAATTGCAGCTTTAACCATAGGCATCTTCAAACGAAAAGGTAACTTGTCCGAGAAATCAATCGCAATTATATCTACCTACGCCAAAACAAAAACAAACAAGAGAACAATCAAAACGAAATGCTTACATTCTTTCTCAATTATTCGAGTAACCAAACACAATTTCACAAAAGAAGTACAAATTAAAATAAATAAAATAAAAACAAAAACAAAACAAACAAAAAGATGCACGAACCTCCAATTTTTCACAGGCGAGTTCGAAGGCAGACTGATTCAAGGGCTTGACAGCGACCAAATCGTAGGTTTTCAAAATGGGATTACCGGAATTGAGGGCCTGGGACTGGGCCGGGGTCTCGGTGCAGACTGTGAGGCGCGTGTACTGGCGGAAAGGGGAGGCGCGTGGGAGGCCGAGGAGGTCGCGGTGGAAGTTAACGTTGGAGAGGAGGAGAGGAGAGTGTTTGAGGAAGGAAGCGATGGTGAGGAGGGGGATCGAGCAACGGTCGCGATCGGACATCACGCCCTTGATCGTACGGTTGTAGGCGACGCCGGAGTAGCCTAGCTCCAAGGCCTTAGTCACGAGCTTTGCACGCGTTATTGACGACCGGTCGGGTGGCGAGGGATCTGTGTAGGGTATGCTGAGGTCGAAGAAGGCCATGGCTGGAGAAAAGAGAGATTGAAGATGGTTTTTCGGAGGTTTAGGGTTTAAGGGATGAATTAGAAGGAGTTGGAAGTCTTTTCCCTTTTCATTTTTTCTTCTTATCGGAGGAAAGGAATACAGAAAATAATAATAACAAAATGTTCTTCCTTTTTTCTTCTTCTTTCTTTTTTCCCAATAATTACCCAAATGAATGAACTATTAAGTTCAGAATAAAAAAAAAACAAAATACTCAAACAAAAAAAAAAAAAAAAAAAAAAAAAAAAAAAAAAAAAAAAAATTCTTCATGGTTTGGTTTGATTCGATTTGGATATAAGTTATAAAGGAAATCGAACTAAACCAAAACAATTTAAGACAGTTTGGTTCGTCCAGTTTGGGCCTAAGCCCAATTCTCTTTATTTTTGCTTTTTTTCAACATTGTTAGCCAATTTTAACCAATAAATTCACAACTTGCTTCATACATGAATGATTTTCTAGAGTACAAAACCATCCTAAAGCTCAAAATGTCATAAAACTTCATATTTCACTAACTAATATAGCTCAATTCAAATATTCGTATATAGTTATTAACTAATTAGAGTATTACATATGTAAAATAAAATATAAATAAATAAATATACATATAAATGGTCCGGTTTGGTTTAAGCCGGTTTATAAAGCTCAAAATAAAACCAAACCAAACTATATACGGTCCAGTTCGGTTTTTAAACCGTTTGACTTTTTCTTAATCAAAACCAAACCAAACCGATAATTATAATTTGGTTCAGCCGGTTTCATCTATTCGGTTGGATTGATCGACATGACTCGACCCAAATTCCACTTTGGAATCTGAGCCGTACCCTGTGCGTGTTCAACATCTGGCGAATGCCGGGCATAAATGACCAAATTGCACTTCTAACTAGAAACCAATTTTACTATCAATTAGACTTCTGCCGAAAATTCGGCAGAGTCTCCCCTGTAATTTGCTCGTTTCCCAAAAGTTTCCACATGTCAACAAACATTTATATATCTCAATCGTTCAGCATGCATTACATTATATCCAAGCAATCAAGCATCATATCATTTTGGCCTCAGGCCTCAACAAATCAAATAAATCATTCTGCTAATAAAATTCGATTCTAAATCTTAGAACATTCCCAGAACAATGTTAGGTTTCAAAATAACTTAACTGAACTGCTTTTCAATCACTTAACCTTGCGGCTGCACCTAGAATTCTAGATTGCCTACATACCCTTAACAAGGGATCAAGCCACACGTAGTTCTTCCCTTTTAATAATGTAATTAAATATCTCATTCATTCATCATATTACCATATGTTTTTCAAATCAAATTGAATTCTCATATGCATGATGTACACAATCATATTCACAACTCTAAAACAATACTTTGCAACTTCCCAATACTTGTAACAGTCATATACTGATTATAGATAAGCCATACATTTGACTCCCTCTATTTTAGTTTAAGAACATCTCAAAACTGAAATTCTCTCCACCTAGGCGTACTCCCATTCCTGATCCGTCAATTCCATTAATACCGTCAATTCCATCTTCGCAGGCCTCGAAGACACCAAGTCTACTCGAGCCGCAATCCTCGCAGGCCTCGGAGATACCAAGTCTACCCGAGCTGCAATCCTTGTAGGCCTCAGGAGACCATTGGTCAGCCTGAGCCGCATTCCTAGCACCACACGGTTCAGGTGTCCCCGAAACACGTGGGGCATTATTTATAACTGATACTGTTTCAAAGCAACTAAGGGGTACCCTTGTGATGGGTTTGAAAAACCATATCCCAAACTTATATCAATACTTTCCCTTTATTTTACAATTCATTTCCCGACTTTTATATCAATTTTCTCATAAATTGATTCTCAACTATACTTAAAATATATATGCACAATTTAGCAATCTATAAATAACTATCTGTACTCAATCCATTACATGACTTAGATAACTCATTCTCGGTCAAGACTCGTTTACATGGTCATTTTAACACTTCTCAAAGGATATAACTGCCTTGGAAGACTCACGGTCAACTGAGGAGTCAAACCACCTAAAATGTTCTCCCTTTTTTCTTCTTCTTTCTTTTTTCCCAATAATTACCCAAATGAATAAACTAGTAAGTTCAGATTTAGACAAAATTTACTCAGAAAAATAAAATAAAATAACTGATTCTTCATGGTGGAGTGAAGACATGAAAAATTCTTAAATGAGATCTATGTATCAAAGAGAGTCTATAATTTATTTATTTATTTTTTTAAAAAAATTGAAATTAGGAAAAATCAATTGGCATATTAGCTTAGTTGGTTAGGGCATCGTGCTAAGAATGCGAAGATCGCAAGTTTGAGACTTGCATGGGCCACTAATAGCATGTTTGTTGGTTTAAATTTCATAAAACTTTCTAAACTTGCTTCAACAATTTGTTAATGACTGGTTTTCTTTTTATTTTTAAAAGTTTGGATTCTATTTCAAAAATTTATCATCAATTTAGTTAGGAGTAAGATTGAATTTATTTTTTTATTTATTTAAAGGAACTGGATATACATATATATTATAAGTGGAATTCTATGAACACATAAAAAAACACAAAGAATTAAACTTTAACACTAGTGAATTAGTTGATGAGTATGAATGTGAGGAATTCAAACCCTTGATATACAAATTTTTATGACATGAAGAGCTTGATACACTGATCAAGTTGTTGAATGTTGTGGACTATCATAAAATCACCCCTTAAATCCTAGTCGCTCTTTCCCTCTTTGAGTCCTAAAGAAAAATTCCATAGAGGAGGGAGGAGGAAGAAGCGTCACTCCCCCTCATCTCTTCTCGTCTTTTCCTTTTAGATTAGTGAATAAGTCCACTGAGGTGTTTTGAATCAAAAGCCCCTTGTGGTGGTTTCTTTTTAAACCATGGTTAGATTAAAGTTCCCCATCACCCATTTTAGTCTATGTTCTCAATCAAATCCTAGTCCCAAAGCTCCTTAACGTCGCTCTCATGTTCTCTAAATTTGATTCTACATCGTCTTTGACGGTGGTTGCTGCAAATCACCCAATTGTTCTTTGGCAAAGTTGTTGTTTTTGTTTATTTGTTCGCTCTTATGCGCAAGTAGATCGCTAGAAATTATATTTTCCTCATATCTGTTACGGATGCAGTGGTGGGTGTGGCTGTGACGACGCTTCTTTAGTGATGGTGGTAGGGTTCGTTTAGGCTCATAGGTTATTTTTATTTTTATTTTTATTTATATGGTTTGCTTATGTTGGGTTGTGGGCTTTGTTTGGACTTATGGCTAATTGTGGTGATGTGGGCTAGTAGTTTTAGTGCGGCTTTTGTCCGCATTAGTTTTGCTTTCAACATGTTAGTTTGTTGCCTCTTGGGGATTAGTATTTTACATGTCTTGTTGATGTCTTTGATTGTACCGTTGAAGCATATCTAATGAAGTTTCTATTTTATTATAAAAAATAAAAAAATGTTGTTGAATGTTGTTTGTATTTGGAAATTTTTCAACAATTTAAAAAAAAAAAATTAAAACCAACTAAACAAAGTTTAAGGATTGTAATAAAAAAAAATTAAAGTTTACAAAAGGCCCAATATTTTAAGAACAAAATACTAAAAAGGCACATTTGAGATACTGAAAGTGTGAATATTTTTGGAATTGTGATAAGCGTCCCATCTATAGATTACTTAATGTGAACAGTGCATGTAAGTTTAATATCCATAAATAAAAACAAGACGTCATTTCACAATTTTTATTGAGCAGGAATTCGTTTTTCACTATAATTTATGTCATTTACTAAAATTTAACATGCAAAAATTCAAAACACTGAAATTATTAATTGCCAAAAATTTAAACGACAAAGATCTAAATTCCACCATTTTAATAATTCAATGCAATTTTCGTCCAAACAAATGGACAGTTGTGATCATTTCGGCTAGAAAAACTGAAGCTACTCTCTCTACTTTATTTGAGTTTCCATTTTTTTCATTGGTTCTGGTGCTGATCTTGGGTTTTCTAAGGTCCAGGACAAATTTTCTCAAGTATGCCCTTTTTATACAAATTAAACACTAAAATTAAAAAATATATATTTATTAACTAATTAATTTTATTAAAATTATAAGAATTTACAAAAGATACGGAAGAACACTTTGATGCCTCATTAAAACCTTGTTTGGGAAAAACCCAATGGGACAAAACACCAAACGAAAGAAAAAGAGTACCCGCATTATAAACATTGCATTCAAAAATAAAAACCACATATTTGAGTCTACATGCTTCCACCCCAATCTCCATAAGCATTTCTTGATTTGATCAATCTTCTTTTCATCTTCCACAATGGATCAAGACTATCCCAAACTCGTGGAGCATAAATGTTCAAATCAAATCTTGTTACAGGAAATTCATTTTCATGGCAAGGTTCATTAATATTTTCATTTTCATCTAGATCGCCAACTTCTTCATTCACATTATTCTCATTTCTGCAAATTCTTCCCATTGAATCGGTTGTTCATATTTATTTGGTAAATCTTCATCTAAATTTTCAAGTGAAGCTTTGGTTTGTTTAACAAAATATTTATTCAAAGATCCTCTTAAACTTTGATCAATTTCTTCTTCTTTTTTCTTTCTTTGAGATTTTCAGAAAGTTGTTTCTTAGGAAACATTTTTTAATTTCTATAATAAACACAACACAATAAAAAATAAAAAACTAAAACTAATTAACAAAGAATAATTATAAAGAACAAGAATCCCAACCAAGTTTTCTGTTGAATCAAATAATAATAAAAAAGTTAATAAAGATACGTATTACAATTTCTTTTTTTAAAAAAAATTACATCTAGATTCTATATTTTTATATATACTTATAAAAATAAAATTGGGCCCCGAGCCAAGGCCGGCTCTCCTTTCTCCACTTATCCACCAAACACTCCTGTGCAAATCACTCATGACACTAAAATACCAACAGACAGTAAAAATTTAATAAACCTTTTACTAGCTTTCATATGGATAAAGTCCTGTGTGGTGGGACACATATACGCCTTATTCCCACAATCACCTCAACGTTATTGAAGTTGTTGACTTGAGGGAACAGCTCACCAATCATATTGGTACTATTTTCTTCAGCATTACCTGGAATTTCTGCCTCTTGAAGTTGAAGGGCATACTCTAGATTCCGCAACACATCTCCCATGGAGGGCCTGTCAGCACCATAGTCAGCCAAGCATTTCTCGGCGGTTTCTCCAAATGTCCTGAGAGAATCTGGTCTGATTTTTCCTGCAAGGGCAGAATCTATTATTTGCTCCAACTGCCCCTTCTTCTGCCATTTCATTGCCCATAGAGCCAAGTTCATTTCCATTGGAAGGGACGGATCTAGAACAGGTCTTGCACAAAGGACCTCAAACAAAACCACCCCAAATGAATACACATCTGATTTCTTTGTCAGTCGTTGCCTTCTAAAATATTCAGGATCAAGGTATCCAAAACTCCCTTTCACTGCTGTACTGACATGGGTTTGATCGATTTCAGGCCCCGTCTTGGAAATCCCAAAATCAGCAACCTTGGCCATGAGGTTTTCATCAAGCAAGATATTTGCAGATTTTACGTCACGATGAATAATTGCTTTTGTACAGCCAGTGTGAAGGTAGTGAAGTCCTCTAGCTGCTCCAATGCATACTTCAAGCCTTTGCTTCCAACTTAAGCTGGGGTGACCTGAGCCATAGAGATGACTCGTCAGGGTTCCGTTCTCCATATATTCATATATCAGAATCATCTCACTCTTGTCATCACAATACCCAATCAATGAGACAAGATGGCGGTGACGGAATTGAGATAGCATCTCAATTTCAGTCCTGAACTCTGCAAGTCCCTGTCGAGACCGTGGAGTTCCCCTCTTGACAGCCACTTTAGTTCCATCATTTAAGACTCCCTTGTATACCTTCCCAAAACCACCGATTCCAATAACCCAACTCTCATCGAAGTTATTTGTAGCCTCTTGTACAACCCCAAAAGGAAAACGATAGCTATAGTTAGAAGCAGCAGTAGCAGTTGTTCCATATGAGAATTTACTTCCCATGGTGTGAGAATTGGTTCCATTAATGGAAAAGGGAAGCCATGTCTTAGAATGGCCCTGGTCTGCCAGTCTTTTCCTTCTTCTGCAAAGAACAAAGAGAATCGCAGCCAATACCACTGCAATAAAGGCACCCACTATTACTCTGACGTTACCTTTTGAACTTGAATTTGAAGAAGGAACCAGAAAGTTTGCTCCACTGAGGCTGCCTGCTGAATTGTTCAATTTCATAATCTCAAGCCCATTTAGAATGGCATTGTGAGAAGCATTATTTGAAGGGGAAGGGCCAATACTAATACGAAGCTTATTGCTGACAGCAGCAGATGTTGTGACATAATCCATATAATATGGCACAGCCAACTTATTAGTTGCTAAAGTACTCAGATCAAGATCTAGAGCAACAATCAAAGAGTCAAGATATACATTGAAGTACAGCTGATTGAGAAATTTACTTACTACATCACAAAAGTGAAACCGAACAAGGTACTGAAATCCTGGATCCACTGTGAACTCCCAGCTCACATTGAAATTGCTGTTGGCATAATCCGCGGATTTCATCTCAGTGAGGGTTCCATAGACAGTTTGTGGAGCAATATCCTTGGTTGCCAATGCCGAACCCACATCATAGTTAACAGCTGCAATATTTGAGACATTTTTGGCAAGGT